CAGAATTAGTGGTTGGAGCATAGACTTAGATTACTATGATATTGAATGGTTTGCCTTGGAAATGAACCGAGAGCATTCTGTCATTTTTGAGATTGCACCCAAGTACTGCATTTCAGACTCTTGTTGACTATGAGGGTTACTCCATTTATTGTAAGGGATTCTTGCCCACAATAGTAGATATAATGGTCATCTGAATTAAATTCGCCCATTCCTGTCCATTTTAGTTCACTGAATCCTAAAATGTTGATGTTCACTATTGTCTTCTGCTTGCATGCCTGCTAAGTTACTTTAGTATTGTCTGACATTTTGGGATCCTATGGATTGTAGCCTGCCAAGCTCCTCTGTCCATGGGATTTTCTAAGCAAGAATACTGAATGGATCAAGAATACTTGCTTGGATCTGAAGTGCGTGATCATTTCCTAGTTAGGGGATCTTTCCAACCGAGAGAACGAACCTGTGTCTCTTATGTCTCCTGCATTGGCTGGCAGGTTCTTTACCATTAGTGCCTCCTGAGAAGCCTCTTAACATCTCTTGCTTTAGCATGTCCAATTTACCTGGATTCATGGACCTAACATTCCAGGTTCCTATGCAATATTGTTTTTTTTAGCATCGGACTTTACTTTCACCACCAGGGCCACTGCTGACTTTACTTTCACTGCTAGACCACCAGGGATGTCCTCCCTAGAGGAAGGAACATCTAAAGTGAGACATCAGGGACTTACGTGTTGGCCCAGTGGATAAGAATCCACCTGCCAACGCAGGGTACATGGGTTTGATCCCTGATCTGGATAGACCTCACATGCCATGGAGTAACTAAGTCGATAAGCCACAACTATTGAGCCTGTGCTCTAGAGCTGGGGAGCTGCAAACTCCAGAGCCTGTGTGCTGCAACTCTTGAAGTCCGTGTGCACTAGAGCCCATGCTCTGCAACAAGAGAAGCCACCGCAATAAGAAGCCTGCACACTGCAACTGAGAGTAGTCCCCGAACTCTGCAACCAGAGAAAAGGCTGTGCAGCAAAGAAGACCCAGCGCAGTCTAAAATAAATAAGTAAATAAAATTATTTTTTATAAAAGCAAAGTGAGACATCGATGGTAAGTAGGAATTAGCTAGATGGAGGATGGGCAGAGCAAGAATGCCACAGCATAGGCACAGCATGTGAAAAGACAGGGAGGTAAAAGAGAACATCAGTGCATTTGGGGAACAAAAAACATAGGGAGCATCTTTGTGAGGCTGGTATCATATTCAGTTCAGATAAAGAAACGAAACAAAGATTTGATAATTTACCCACATTTCTCAGTTGGCTTGACCTGGAATCCAGGTCTGTTTTACCTTTAAAGAGGCTGTTTTTACTCTCACTGTCCCACGAATGTCTCTAATGCTGATTGGGTCCTCAGTATTATTACACTGAAATTGCAGACAGGTTGTTTAAAATTAGAAGAGGACGAAGGAGTGAACCTAAGGAATGCCTACCTGTGAGGAGTAGGAGGAAGAAAGTGCCAACTGAAGGTAGGAGTGAAAGAACAATTAAAACAGAATGACTCAAACAGCACAGCGTGATGGAAGCCAAAGAAATCATTGTAAGAGGAATGGTATCACATTTCAAAGATGGAGAAAGTTGAAAGAGTTAGTGGGTTTTCTGACTTTATTTGGCAATGATCTCATTTAGCTAATGAGAACGTAATTTCTAGGCAGGGTCACAAAAGGATGGAAAAGAGTGTTGAAGAAGTAGAGGAGTGCAGATCACTTTTTCAGATACATTAATTTCTGGGTGCAAGAAGTAGTAAAAAGGGAAACCAACTTCAAGATGGAGGCAGTCAGGTTTTTGGAGGTGATCTTCAGATAGACACTAAAGGAACGGAAGGAAGCACTCTGCACAGGAGTTGAGCTGTGATGTAGGATACAGGTTGAGCCGACCATCAGAGCTGTCCCTGGTTGGGGAAAGAGGGGCGAATCTTCATCTTCCCGCCTATATCAGTTTGATGTGGGCTGCCTGAGAGAGGCATAAGAGGTCATGCCTGAGGCCAACAGCATTCCCACTCGAAACAGGGGTATTAAGTCCTTCATTCTCACAGGGGATACTTCTAGTGCATTCCAGCATTATCACAAGGAAGAATACTTTTAGGATAGATAAAGATATCACAAGACTCAGTTTCAGTAGCTGGGAAGATCCCCTGGAGGAGGAAATGGCAACCTATTCCAGTATTCTTCCCTGGGAAATTCATGGACAGAGGAGTCTGGTGGGCTACAGTCCATTGGGTTGCAAAGAATCTGATATGACTTAGCCACTGAACACACATACAAAGACTCAATTTTGGAAATAAATACATAAATATAAACAGATATAACCTAATTATTAGTCTTCATTTCTTGAGCCATAACATATTAAAACAATGGGATGATACATAGTTATGGAACACCTCTTATATATCTGGACTTAGTTAACACCAGGTGTACAAAGATAATTTCCCCTTTTGAGAAGCTCATATTTTTGTAGGAAAAGAAAGCATAAAAACATTAACCCACTAAGGGGCTGTGCTTATATTATTTGTATTGTGTCTGTTCCACCCATCATCTGCCTGGTAGGTAATTGATTTTCAGTAAATGTATTCAGAATGAGTTGGTGTTAGAGTAAGAAGTACTTGTGTAGCAGACAGGATATAGGGCTAATGCTGTTTGGAGGAGGGAGTCAGCAAATTCTTCCATAGAAGAGGGTGTTTTAATGGAACTGATGATAGTAACAATAAAAACAGCAACAATAATAATGAGGTTTTTTTTTCCAGGTAAGAAATGTGTATAACTATTAGCATAACTGATGCTGTCACACCCATGTTCCTTTTGTCTTTACCCTGACCCAACCCAGGACTGTACTGTTCTGTTACTCACTTTTCTGTTGTCAAGTGTTTTGTAGTTAATAGGTATAGTTTAATAATCATTAGGATCATGTAGCCCCTATGCTCTGTTGATCCTCAAACAATGACAACCTTTGCTTAGGTGTTCCCATGAGACTAGTTATTCATTCATAAGTCTTGCCTTAGGAATACAGGTCCTGTTTTGAGCACCTACCCCCATACCCTAGTTTAACAATAAAGTTGTCCTAATAGACACTGATGTGGAATGTAGTTTCAAAGTCTTCTGGATCATTGTTCGTCCAATCCCACCCTGTGAGTAAGTTACCATATAATAAACGGAAACATGATTATATGGAACTGCCTGTCTTGCTCTCTTGTCTCAAGATGCCATCTCAGTTTGATGGGTATGTTTTGTTCCCTCTGTCCAACAAAAAGGGAGGGGTGGGAAGACTTAGGAGGGGGCTTCCTGGGTGGCTCAGTGGTAAAGCATCTGCCTGTCAATGCAGGAGACACAGGAGATGTGGTTCTTGTTCGATCTTGGGGGTCTTGGGATCTTGAGTTTGATCTCTGGGTCTTGAAGATCCTCTGGAGGAGGAAATGGCAACCCAGTCCAATATTCTTGCCTGGAAAAATCCCATGGACGGAGGAGTCTGGCCTGCTATAGTCCATGGGATTGCAAAGAGTTACACAGTACTGAACTTCTGAGTAGGCATGCATGAAGGAGTTAGCTTCAAGCAGTTGTTCAGGGGGACAATAAAGCGTGAAAAAGAATACTGGGAGAGTGGAAGGGAAGTGAGCATGGAAGAAAAAGTGTCCTATTTAAATAAAACCGCACATGATACAGATACATATTAACATCTATTAAAAAATCAGTTGGCTATTATGATAATGTGAAATGTTCAGTGAATTTACATGAATAGGATTTTGTAAGAGAAATTATTTCTGAGCTAGAGATTTGAATGAAATGAAACTGTTTTAGGTGTGTAAGATGAGGCACTGTGATATGGTAGTTGGGGTGCTGGCTTTTAGATTTAACAAATTTTTATTCAAAGCCTGACTCTACCACTAACATGCTGTGAAATTAATTAACTTTAATTAATTTACCTCCTTAAGTCATTACTTAACCTCCCTCAAACTCAGGTTCCTAACATGCAAAATAAAGATTATAGTCCTTGCCTCACAAATTTATTGTGAAGAGCAATTCTTGTTTATAATGTCCTAAATATGGTATTTGATACATAATAAGGATTCCATTAATGTTACTGTAAGTGCATTGGGGACCTAGCAGGCAAGACTGGAGCATGTATGTTGGGAGCAGTTCCTGAGTAAAGGCCACAGGAGTACTATGATAGAGTCTCCTTGTAAAATGAATTCCTATTTTGGGAGCCCTAAACCACAACAGGGACTTTTCCTGCAACAGGTTAGTTCTTAGGTGATTTCATATTTCTTCTTTTATTTTCCCATGAAGGGGGGCAAATTGAGCCCAACCCAATCTAAGGCAGTTTTGCCTTAGGGAACTTGTCTGTTGTAGAACAAGGACAAAGAGGTCAATTGTAATGAGATGGCTTCTAGTCCTGAAAGGAAGGGATCTTCTTCATCTTGTGGTGCTATGGCCATTCTGGGCCTCTAGCACCTGCAAAATGAGACAGAGATGAAATTTTAGAATCAAAGTTTTTAAATGTAATTAACTGTTTGCTAATATCCATGAGTGGCAAATATACACATGCATGCTCAGTTGCTCAGTCATGTCTAACTCTTTGCGACCATATGGACAGTAGCCCAGCAGGATCCACTGTCTGTGGAATTCTCCAGGCAAGAATACTGGAGTGGTTTGCCAGTTCCTCCTCCAGGGGATCTTCCCAACCCAGGGACTGAACCAAAGCTCCTGTCTCCTGCATTGATCAGCAGATTCTTTACTATGAGCCTCCTTGGATGCTCCCGCAGATATATGATGCTTTCCTTTTCACGACAGGTCAAAGATGAGATCTGATTATGCTTTGAAGGGTGTGGTTTGCTTCTTGAAACTCCCTGCGGTGTCTTTAACAATGTGTTGCCCAGAGCAGGGTAAGTGGCCTTGTCTAACCAAGGGGAGGCGCACTTGTCTCTATATATAAAGACAAGAGACAGGAGCGGCACTGGGAAAAGTCAGAAAGAGCCTGCACAATGAAGAAACAGCTTAAGGAGGAGGCAGCCTCACACTGTGAGCTAAGTAAGTAGCCAGCAAGTAAGTATGTAACAGCCAGGGAATCTACCCACCAGAGAGTGGACCTGTATTGCGAAAAGGAAGGTCCAGTCATTTTATTTTCTAGTTGCAGTAGAAGTTCCCAAAGGAAAGGTTCTGGTCTGGAGGGACTTCATCAAGCTTTTCTGAAACACCCCATATGCATTGCAGAGAGATCCTCAGAACTAATTTGTAGTAAAGAACCTACCTGACAATGTAGGAGACACTGCAGACTCAGGTTCCATCTTTGGGTTGGAAGATCCCCTGGAGGAGGAAATGGCAACCCACTCCAGTATTCTTGCCTGAAAAATTCCAAAGACAGAAGAGCCTGGTGGGCTACAGTCCGTGGGGTTGCAAAGAGTTGGACATGACAGAGAGACTTTGAGTATACACACACATGGTATAAGCTTAGTTATTCAGCTTTGGATAATGACAACTTAGTACTTGCATAGTGTTGAAAGTTGGATACTGGCTTGGTTTGAGTGGAGGACATTGTCTTTATGTATCCTGTTTATGTAAGGAAGACAGGGAGTAACATCTTTAAAAAGTGGAGTGTTTGAGGCAGAAAAGGAAGACTTTTGCCTTATTATTGTTGTCTTCTTTATCATGGGAGTCTCTCTGGTTAGAGAGCATTTGAATGTGCAGAATATAAGGAGTCAGAAGAACTAGGCCCTTGCTGTCTAAGCCATCCAATGCCATTTAGTCTTTGATAATTTAACAAGCATGTATTGAACAATTAACGTTTATTGGCCCCTGGAGACACAAGAAGAGCCATACAGGTATCATCGGGAATATCATGGACATAGTAAAACAATAAATATGAATTATAAACTGTAATACCATCAGAATGGAATATAAAAGAGTTGACCAATGATAAAAATATATTTATTGTCTAATTCCTCTTCCATTTTTAATTTAAGTTCAGAGTAACATACTTTTTTTTAGAATAAGGATCAGTCCCCAGTAAAGACTTACACTGGAAAATCAGGGTTCTCAGTCTTGTCTTTGTTCTTATTGCTAGTAGGTCATCTTGTATGGGTTATTTTTGTTCTCTTTTGTTCCATCTGTCACTAATAATAGAGTGTCTATAAAATTCCTAGGAAATGAAAGGAGGCTGAAGGTTAACTATTGAAATTTCAGTAGGTTCCAAAGGGTAGAAGGAGGAATATATGAATCTTGATTCCCTGGTGGCTCAGATGGTAAAGAATCCACCTGAAATGCAGGAGATGCAGATTTGATCCCTGGGTTAGGAGGGTCTCCTAGAGAAGGGCATGGAAATCCCCTCCAGTATTCTTGCCTGGAGAATTCCAAGGACAGAGGAGCCTGGCAGGCTACAGTCCATTGGGTGGCAAAGAGTTGGACACGACTGAAGTGACTTAACATTCTTGCTCGCACACTAGAGAATCTTATATATATATTGTCTGTCATTACAGACAAGTTTTCTTTGCTTTAAGCAAAGAAAATTTGAGGAACATATTACTAAAAATTGTTAAGGTCAATCTACATTGGGGGCAGCCAGTATCTGTCACTGGAATAAATAAGTTGAATGTAACCTAATGGTAATCATTTCTCACATTTGCGAGAGAAAAGCTACTTAAGTATAAGGGCAAAACATTTTTTTCTGAGGTAAGAAGTGGGTACAGACTGATTTAATAGACTCTTATTTCAGGGCAAAGGAGTCTCTGAAATTTTTACGGAGCTTGGAGTTGTGCTCTGAGATAGTTGTGTCAGGATAGGAGGCCAGGTTGGGCTGTCAAATACACTGCTGTGAACTTCCGGTTGGGAGGAAATCAGGGGAAGCTTCCAGTGAGAGCTGGGAGGGACAAAGACCAAGCTATAATGTCTGAAAGGAAGGTATTAGTGGCCCTGACATGTGAGCAGTCAAGGAGGTTTAGAAGCTGGCAAAGCCTCAGAGGGCTGAGCAGAGAAAGTGAAGAGCGCTATTTAACAGATACTAATTGGGCCCTTCTATTTCTGAAGTCTCTGGCTGATGAGTGATATTTTTGTCTAAAAACTCAGTACTTCTCGACAGCCTGGCCACATCTCTCCCCAGTTATCACCTTTGACACCAAGGCAGTTGATGTTATTTTCAACTGTACTCTTCCTCCTTGTGTCTTACCCCCTCTCCTCTTCTTGCTGCCTAACATTTTCTCTTTCTATTTTTTTTCTTAATCATTAGATGTTCTGCATGTCAGATTTGCCTTTCAACTTTCAAACGGATTTTCAAAAGTCTAAGTCAAGTGGAAACAGCAGACTTGGTGCTGAGTTGAAATTGTGGTTCTCCGATTGACTAATTGAGATGTCTCCAATTTTGAGATTATTACCTTGACATAAAAAGTCAGTAACATGGTCCATTTCAGTGGCCATTGTGTCAGAGAGTGAGAGAGAGAGAGAGGCTCTGAAGCGAGTTAGGCATGTTGTACAATAGCAGCACTGTACTTTATGAACTGGGCGTGCTTGTGTGACGTTCAGCTTACTGAAATATTAGCCACTAGGGTAGAGAGCGGAGAAGGCAATGGCGCCTCACTCCAGTGCTCTTGCCTGGAAAATCCCATGGAGGGAGGAACCTGGTAGGCTGCAGTCCGTGGGGTCGCTAAGAGTCGGACACAACTGAGCGACTTCACTTTCACTTTTCACTTTCAGGCGCTGGAGAAGGAAATGGCAACCCACTCCAGTGTTCTTGCCTGGAGAATCCCAGGGACGGGGGAGCCTGGTGGGCTGCCGTCTATGGGGTCGCACAGAGTCGGACACGACTGAAGTGACTTAACAGCAGGGTAGAGAGGGTTAGAGTTTCAAGGCTTTTTTCTTAAACTAACACCAGAGGGGCTTTTCACTTTGTTCTTCTGTCAGGTGAAAAACATTGAAAGTGTTAGTTGCTCAGTCATTTCTGACTCTTTGAGACCCCATGGACTGTAGTCCACCAGGCGCCTCTGCCTGTGTTCTCCAGGCAAGAACACTGGAGTGGGTAACCAGTCCCTTATCCAGGGGATCTTCCTGATCCAGGGATTGAACCCACGTCTCCTGCATTGCAGACAGATTCTTTATCATCTGAGTCACCAGGGAAGCTTGTCAGGAAGTAGATGTAATCTGTCTCCAACCTGTCTTTTTTTTTTATTATGTCATTTTATATCAACATCATTTTTATGAAAGAAAAATGGGATTATTTTGTATTCAAATTTTAAAAATAATTCCAAACTTCCCATCCTCAATTATAATTTAGAAATTCACATGGTTTCTCTCTTATCACCCCTAGTGGGGGCAGATTGAGTTTCAGAATCAATTAGATGGAAAGACTCAGAAACTGATGCTTCTTTATTGACCTGGAATGGAAAAACAGAGGAAGCTATCATTTCTCATCCTAAAAATTGGCCAGTAATATTCCTTATTAAAATCCATAAGTTCAGAGAGCGTTAGCTCTGTTTGAAACACAGAATATTTCAGTTTGTTGACTCCTAACATTCAGAGGCAGGAGCTCACCTTCATGAAGAGCATCTTATACAATATGAAAGTTATACTAAAAATAATGGTTTGGTAGGATTATCAAGTATTTTAGCCTTAAAGTAGACCTTTAGAGGAAAGGGAATTTTAGAAGGATCTGGAAATCTTTACATTTTCTTCAAAACAAATGGAATTCTGTGTTTGTTTGTTTTTTTAAATCACAACTCCTTTCTATTCTCTAATAAACAACTTGGGTATGACTTTTAAGGCCTATTTCAGCAGTTTCCATTTTGTCACCAGCATGTTGAACACTGAACATTGGCTGAGGAAATATCAAGAGGGGAAAGAGGTGGCTTTGCCAGTCAGCTTTAAATATTCCTGTTCACATTTATCTAATCAGCTGATTCCATGCACACTTTTCTGGCTGCCCCTATGAAACTTCTTTTCCTACTTAATGCTGTCTCCGGTTTTATCTATATAAAGGAGTGGAAGAAGGGGAGAAGAATTAGAAGACTGTTCAAAAAACATTCCTCTCCAAAACTAAGATTAATTTTAGGGAGACCTTTGCAACATTGAACACAGCTCTAAAATCAATGAAATGGTTTTGGGTGACTTTGCTCTTTATAAGAGAGTTTAATAAAATAAATATTAGTTTAAATTCAATTTTTTTTTAACCATGGGGGGAATAGTTGAAATTTTATATACTTTAGTACTCAGTATTTCACACTTTCTTGTTGTCAATTTTTAAACCAGGTTTGGGCTATCCAGATTGTTCTTCAGAGTTCTTGTAAAAGCGAAGAAAACACTTGGAAGTATTTTCAACTAAATATTCAGAATTTATGATAGCTAGTAAGTGTTGGGGGATATAACTTCTTATGTTGATATAATTTATAACTTGCAGAAAAGTTGAAAGAGTACTATCAAGGAATGAATGCTTTCAGAGTAACATGGTATGATAATAGTAAGCTGCAGGTGCCTTGGGGGAACATGAAAGAGGGCCATTTAACCCAGGTTAAGGAGTGAGGAAACACTTTGTTGAGGAAGACTTTTTTATTTCTTTGGATTCAGGAGAAACTTCCAAATCACAATTTCAGAGCATGGCTGTTTGCACACTAAGTCAAAGTAGTAGTAAGTTAAGCTTAAGGCCACATATGCCTGCCCACCGACAGCTTCAGATCTCTGGTTATCCACTGCAGAAGCTTTATCAGAGAGAACTGATATATCCCTGAAGTGTTCATTGAGAAACGGAAGGTTCCTGAGGTGTTTGTTGGGAAACTGAGTAAATCTGCATGCTCTTTATGATTTTAAAAAATAAACAATACATTTACTTGGCAAAATATTTAAAAATTGCAAAACCTTATACAGTGTATATTCATGAGAGGTCCTTTTGCCTGACCTCATTTGTGCTCCCCACTCCTTCCTCTTGGAGATGGCAATACCAGTTTTTGGCATGTCCTTTGGATTTTGTTTGTACGTGTATTGTATATTCTGTGTCTCTCTTTTGCTACATAAATGATAGCATACTGTTCTATAGTATCTTTAACTTAACAGTGTATCTTGGAGATTGTTTCCTGTCAATCTGTTTAGATTTGCCTTGTTTATGGTATTCCATTCTATGAATGTCCTACGTTGTTTTAGTCTTTTGAAACTACAAACAGTGCTGTGGGAAATATTCTTGTACATATTGATACTTCCTATACAAGTATTTCTTTAGTATGCATTTTTAGAGATGGAATTGCTGGGTCAAAGGATATGTAGACTTTTGACATTTAGACAGAAGATGTAGTTAGCATTCTTATCTTGTAAAACAGACTTAAAACTTTTTTGATGAGGAATGGAATAAAATAGTTATATTGCATTGACCCATGAGTGCCTTTTCCCCCCCTTGCTGTTGATGGCTGTTTGATTGGAGGAAACTTGCTGGCTTTAAGAGAAGGTGACACTTAGTGGTTGGGGGTGAGCCAGAATGTCAAGGCACACTGTTAATCATAATTGTTCAAGTACTGGAGGGTTGATTTTTATTACTTGTATCTCCACTTGATCTTTTTCTTAACATAATTTAATGACTAAAATGGCCTGGAGGTATGGTCCTAGAGAGCAAAGTGTTATTATTAAATTACTGCTTCTATCTGGGTGTTGAATTTTCGTGAAGACCTAAACACTGGGCAGCATGCAGAGCGTATTGACTCTCCATTCCTTGCCCTCGTTATGTTCTCTAGACACTGCAAGCAATGAAAGTTATAGCTGTTCACTCAATGTTTTGATGAGAAAGTTGGAATCTAGGGAATTCCCTGATGGTCCAGTGGTTGGAACTCGGGGGTTTTATCTTCCAGGCCCAGGTTCCATCCTTGTTCTGGAAACTAAGATCCTACAAGCTGCAGAGCGTAGCAAAAAAAAAAAAGCAAGAAGTTGAAATATAGAATGCATTTTCTTTCTTGGAGAGAGATTTTGGAAAGAAGATCAGACTCTTGTGTTTAAAAGTTCTGTAAGTAATTATGGGAATAATCACTTAGAATACTAATTACAATAATTAGATTTTTTTGTGAGACATTTCTTTTTAAAATTATTTAACTATCACCCTTTCACACATGATACTCGGGGAAAGACACACTTCTGTCTCAATTGTTTGCTTTTTAAATATAACCTTTAAAGGCCTGTTTTGAATAGGAATCTTCCTCAAATGTGTTGAATACTTCTGAGCCTTCTGAAACCAGATATCAATCATCAAGACAAAAGTAATCTCATTGAATTGGTCCTTCCTGAGTAGAGCAGCAATTAGAAACTTGAGTTATTCTTACTAATATGATATTAATAATACTAATCTTAAAAAAAAATCACGACATTTTGGCACTTCTTTCTATCTTATTTATTTAATTAGTTTATTTTTTGGCTATGTTGTGTGGCTTCAAGATCTCAGTTCCCCAGCCAGGGATTGAACCTGGGCCACAGCAGTGAAAGGCTAGAATCCTAACCACTATGCCACCAGGGAACTCTCATAATAATATTCTTCTTTGGGAGGTGGGTTGGAGGGGGCCTTTGCTGTGTGACTTGTGGGATCCTAGTTGCCTGACCAGTGATCAAATTCACACCCTTGGCAGTGAAAGCATGGAGTTCTAACCTCTGAACCACCAGGGAATTCCCAGTAATCTTCATAATAATGTTTCTGAGGGATTGAAGCATACAGAAGTTTTCTCATGTAAATAGCCCACGATTTTCTGTGTAAGAGCCATAGTCCCAGATCGGATTTTTGGTTTCTAGTTTATTGTGTGTTATCTTGGTTTCTTAGAATTAATGTAAAATAAAAGTAAAAACGCTCTGAGTGGGGTCTAGGAGCTGTGTTGTGATTGGAATTCAAGTGGTACTGCTACTGAGTGGTCAGATGTGTAAGTCCCATTTAGGTGAGGTGCTGGCTGAGATAAGGGTGGGGTTGTCAGCAGTATTGAGATCTGCTGGTGAAACCATCTGGTAGCTCAAACTCTGATAGGAAGGACATGGATTTTGTTCATTATACAAAGTTCTTGATATTGGTGACTATAAAGATGAAAGGTTATGTTTCCTAACTTAGCAAGAGGTGGTATGTTTTACACTCCAGAATATAGATGAAATCTAACACCCCCTTCAGGTCTTAATTCTGCAAAATAGGTATAGACTATGTCAATTTGTTATTGTTTTAGTCATTAAGTCATGTCTGACTCTTTTGAGACCCTATGGACTGTAGCCCACCAGGCTCCTCTGTCCATGGCATTTCCCAGTCAAGAATACTGGAGTGGGTTGCCATTTCCCTCTCCAGGGGATCTTCCCAACCAGGGCTCAAACCCAAGTCTCTTGCATTGGCAAAAGGATTCTTTTTGGCTAAGCTACCAGGAAAACCCCAGAATATGTTACTAGAATATCTAAAAAAGAAAGTAGAGCACTGTTCACACAGGAGTGGAAAAAGACTAAAGGATAGAGAAGGGGAGGCTTCCTTAGTTTTTTAGTAGGATAGTTGTTGGGGTTCAAGGGGAGGTGGTTAACAATTAATATTATTTACCTTTCCCCTTCGAAGTTTGAACTTAACTGAGAAATAGATTCCTTAATCAGTAGATCAAAATTTTTTAAAATTAGCCTTATTGGTGGAGTTGACTGGAGAATATGCCATAGATCTGTGACCCAATGGATTTACTAATATACCCCCTCTAACCCCCAGTTAAACTTAACCCAGTAGTCCTCGTGCTCTCCCTTCCCAGGCTGCTTGTTGCTGATGGAGAGAAGTGCAGGTGGAATGTGGACTGTGCCTTGTCCTCCTGGTGCCTCTGGTGGGGCAGGGAGGTGGAGCTGGTCATTCATTTCTCTTAGTTGTTGAAGTGCTGAGGAATGAGACCTGAAACCTTACAGCTGAAGTCTCTGTTCACGGAAAGGTGAGGCTGCGAAACAGTGGCCCTCTTCTATCAGTGTGCTCGTGAGATGCTTCCCCCCGACTCAGAAGCTTGAAATATGAGCTTAAATTGTTAGTTAGATCAAAGAGAGTTATAGATCTCTGTCCTTAGAAACCCATCAAAATTGTGGGAAGTCAGTCTCTTAAATATTTGGGTTAATCTGGAGACAAAGGAAGAGACTGGGAGATTGCCTCAAAGCCATTCTGTGGATGCTTTTGTTGTGTTGTTCAGTCGCTAATCCATGTCTGACTCTTTGTGACCCCATGGACTGCAGCACCCCAGGTGTCCCTGTCCCTCACTATTTCCTGTGGATACTTATTAAAAACTACTTGCCCACTCTCCTGGAATACCCTTTACTTCAATTTTGTTTTGAAGTGTTGCCAGCAAAAACATGATTAAGTTAAGACTTTTATATTTTTTCTATTAAACATCTCTAATCATAGTCTGCAAACTGTGATTATTTCCAAGGTTATCTAATTCAGTAGAACAATTATTCTTTTCACATAGTAAGGGTTCAGTCATACAGAGTCACAGAATGCTGCTCATGAAACTTGTTTTAATTTGTTCTTGCTAATTCCTCTCCCTCTCTTCTCTCCTTTCCAGAGTCCTATTCTATGAACTCAGGCACTCAGGTATCCACCACGGTGTTGGGTCCTGAACAGAAGATGCCAGATGGTAATTTACAGCTTTGTGTCATTGACTCATTTTTGTTTGGATTTAGGCTTAAGCCAGTAACAGAGATTTACCATATTGTCCTTCTTGTCCTCTGTTTCATCAAAAATTGTCGCCATCTCCTGTCCCCAGGCCATCAATATCATGGAGACCTGCTCCATTCAGACAAGGGAAACGCTGATGATTAGTCATCGATGAGCGCTCCTGTCACTAGGGTGACACCTCCCCTTCTCCAAGCTCTTCACTGAGGGTCTTAGTCAGGTGGCAAAAGGTTCCTGTTTGGTGGTTTCCCTGAAACTTCAGAGTTTAGCCTGAAATGTGGCAGGATTTTGCAAGTTACCCATTTTGGGGGCAGCCTGATGGAGATATTATGTCCAAGGATGATCCTTTGAGTAAATCCTACTAAAAAAATGGGTGGGGGGTGGAGACTGGAGTGTCCCATTAGCCTGACAATTTCCTTCTGAATGTTAAGATTTTAGGTTATCAGTGCGGCTAGTCTAGGGATGTTATATATTAAGCACTGGACATCAGTGATTTTAGAAGAAAATGATTCTAAAAATTGGCAAGTGGCAGTAGAAGCATGAGGGCTTCCCCAGTGGCTCAGATGGTAAAGAATCCGCCCGCAGTGTGGAGACCTGGGTTTGATCCCTGGGTTGGGAAGAGCCCCTGGAGAAGGGAATGGCTACCCACTCCAGTATTCTGGCCTGGAAAATTCCATGAACTCTATAGTCCATGGGGTCGCAAAGAGTCAGACACGACTGAGTGACTTTCATAGTGCAGTACAATAGAAGCGTGAAAGTAGGGGGAGACCATTTGTGAGATTAGTGTTGAAAACTGATGTAGCGCTCAGTGACCGGGAAAGAGGGTTGAGAGGGAGCTTTATCACCATAAGCAATTTTGTATTCCTCAAATTTTCAGCCATGTGAATGTGTTGCCTATTCAAAAATTAATTTATTAGAAATATAAATAAAAATAAAGTACCAGAGACATTACTTTGCCAACAAAGGTCCATCTAGTCAAGGCTATGGTTTTTCCAGTGGTCATGTATGGATGTGAGAGTTGGACTATAAAGAAAGAATGATATCTTCATGTTTATCTCCATGAAATAACAGCTCACTTATTAGGGGCCTTATACTGCCAAACACTAATACAAATTTTACTGTGAGTTAACTTATTGCAACAACGATGCTGCTGGATGGCATCACCGACTTGATGGGCATGAGTTTGAGTAAACTCCGGGAGTTGGTGATGGACAGGGAGGCCCGGTGTGCTGCGATTCATGGGGTCGCAAAGAGTGAGGGCAGGAGGAGAAGGGGACAACAGAGGATGAGATGGTTGGATGGCATCACTGACTCAATGGGCATGGGTTTGGGTGGACTCCGGGAGTTGGGGGCGGACAGGGAGGCCTGGCGTGCTGCGGTTCATGGGGTTGCAAAGAGTCTGACATGACTGAGTGACAGAACTGAACTGAACTGAACCAGAAATTGATATAGAGTCAGTTTGATCTTGTGCATTTAGGTATTAAAAAGGTTTAATTTCAGTATTTCTAAGATGATTATTAATATTAGTGTATTTTGTTAATTTTAACTCATTTCTTCTCAAATCTGTTAATTCAGAAAATGCTTCTGGAGACCATGGGGTCTCTGTCAGTCTTGGTGCCATCAACCCTGCCTGCAGTAACTCCTCAATTCGGCAGTCCCCTGGGGCACACACAGAGGAGCCCTTTACCACCTACTTTGATGAGAAGATTGCCATTCCTGAGGAGAAGGTTAGTGACAGGTCCTTAGAGAAAAATATTATTATCTAGGGAAGACCTATGTACAATGTCTGCTGGATAACTCAGGATCAGCAACCTCAGAGTCAGTTCTGGCAAGCAATCTCTGAAGACTGACTTTTTGTAGTCAGAGTAAACAGAAACTTTTAAGAAAACTAAGGCCCTTGAAAAACCATTGCCAAGTTGTACTAGTGAGCATTTTTTGACCCAGAAAGGGAAAATTTCATGTTCCCTTTTTTACCGTGCCTTTTGTTCCATTTGGGTAGTGTTTGAGCACAGGGGTACTGCTATTATTGCTGTGGTTTTAGACTGAAAGGCTGTTGGAAAGGCAGGTAAGAGAAGGGCTCTTATTTGTACAGAGAGCTAACCAGGTTATTGATAAGGAATGGATAAGATGGAGGAGAAACTTGGACTCACCCCTGTCCAACTTTCGAACCCATTGTTATGAAACTGATATTGCTGCTTTTTATGTGATAAAATAATAGATAAATTAGATCAGCAGTTTGGAGGTGATAACCTTTTTTTTTTTCCCTCCAAGAGACACTTTTATTATTATTATTATTTAAAACTTTTTCTTCTATGTTGGAGTCTAGTCAATTAACAATATTGGCTAGTTTCAGGTGGACAGCAAAGGGAGTCAGCCATACATAGGCATGTATGTATCCTCCCCCTGGAGGAGATAATCATTTTGCTCTGTTTTCCTCTCTTGTACAGCCCTCTTGTTTTAGCTTTCGCAAACTCTGGGCTTTCACGGGACCAGGATTTCTTATGAGCATTGTGGATCCAGGAAACATTGAATGTGATTTGCAGTCTGGAGCACTGGCTGGATTTAAGGTGAACAAAGAGTCCTCCCTCATCCCTTTTTTAGTTTACCTGCTGGCTCAGGTACTAAAGAATCTGCCGGCAATGCGGGAGACACAGGTTTGATCCCTGGGTCAGGAAGATTCCCTGGAGAAAGGAATGGTAACCCACTCCAGTATCCTTACCTAGGAAATCCCAGGACAGAGGAGCCTGGCAGGCTACAGTCCATGGGGTCACAAAGAGTCGGACACGACTCAGTGACGAACACTTTAACTTTTTCTTTCCTTTTTAAACACACACAGCACACCACATCCTTTTCCTCTGCTCTGCCTTTTGGATATGAACCTTGGTTGGCTACATGCTGACTCTTCATTGGCTCTGACACTTCGATGAAAAGTACTTTTCTATCTGTTTTTAAATTTTATTTTATCACCTAGTTGGTTTTTAGTTTTATTTACCCAGGTAGTTTCCTTGAACAAAAGTGAAACGGCAGATGGGAAAAACTAGAACTTGGAAAGGTGCAAGGCAGCCTAGCAAGTTCTGTGCAGAAGGTGATACAGAACTCACGTCACTGGATGCCTGAACTGGGCTCTTTCCTGAATGTACTGTTTCTCATTCCCATTGCCAAACAACTAAACCAAAACTTCCAGTTATCTCGAGAGTGTAATGGTGGGATTTTGTTCTTCTCTAGTTGCTCTGGGTTGTTCTGTTTTCCACCATCATGGGGCTCCTGCTGCAGAGCCTTGCAGCTCGACTGGGAGTGGTCACTGGGCTGCATCTTGCTGAAGTGTGCCACCGCCAGTATCCCAGGGTAAGCAGTGTTTGTCTCATATCATAGGTAACTATGTGTCTGGCAACCTATGCTAGCCCTTAGTATACTAAAATAGTGGAGGATGTGGGGATCATGGCCCTGAGGGCTGGGAATCCCAAGGGAAATTCTCTAGCTCCTCTTGCTGCTAAACCGTGTTTCCCTGATGCTGGGAAAGATTGAAGGCAGGAGGAGAAGGGGACCACAGAGGATGAGATGGTTGGATGGCATCACCGACTCGATGGACATGAGTTTGAGCAAACTCCGGGAAATGGTGAAGGACAGGGAAGCCTGGCGTGCTGCAGTCCATGGGGCCGCAAAGAGTCGGACACCACTGAGCGACTGAACAACAGCAACAATGTCTGGAAGACAGGTTTAAACTGACTTGATCTTTAGATAAGTACTAATCTGCCTCCAGTTTGTCTTAAATGTTCAATCTCCTTTCCTGGCTGTAAGAGTATCCTTACCTGCTTTTTATCTTATATGCCTCTTAAAAAAAAAACAACTTGGGAATTTATAGTTTGTTTTATCTTCTCTTTCTTCATGTATCTTAGTGGTTGTTTTTTTTGTGTGTGTGACATATTTGTTAGGTAGTAGATACCTGGAGGTTGTTTTTTTTTTTTTTTCCCCTGGCCTCAGTGAGCTAACAGAAATTTCTTTCTGTTAATTATTGACCAGATTAGATCCAAGATTTTATTATAGGACACCCAATTCCAACACTTTGCCCCAAGTCCCTTTGCATATCTGTCTTTTTTCACTTGCTTGTGTATTATTACACTAAGGATGACTCCAACGTTTTCACGTTTGTTTTGTCTCTTCAGCTATGGTCGGGATAGATGTTTTCTTCTGCAGTATTTTTATTCTCTCCTGAACAATATTTTGACCATCCTAGCATTCTCATTTTCCGCTAAAACTTTCAGGATTGTTTTTAGATAAAAAATTAAGTGGAAATAATGAATGGAAATTCCATTCTTCTGTCAAGTGAAACGGAAGGAGAAGAAATTGGCATCAGCTGCTACCCTGACCTTGACTCACAGGCTCTGCCACAAAGAGCACCCTGGCCCTCTCCAGCAGGGGGCCAAGTGCAGCTGAGTTCTGGTCCTTCATCTCTAGACCTAAGGCTTAATAAAGGACCGTTATTGGATCACTGACAAAATGTGAATTCCAAACTATGGGGGAAGTTCTTAGAAATGATTAACTAGAACCATGTCTTTCTGCTGTTTGATGTTTAGGTTCCACGAATCCTTCTGTGGCTGATGGTGGAGTTGGCTATCATTGGTGTAGATATGCAAGAAGTTATTGGCTCAGCTATTGCCATCAATCTCCTGTCTGTAGGAAGGTGAGGGGTTTTTCTCTAGAAAGTAATCAATGTTTTGTGGGATTTCAAAGCAAGTATAAAAACAAAAGTCCTTCCCAGGTGGCTTAGTGGTAAAGAATCTGCCTGCCAAGCAGGTGATGCACGTTTGATCCCTGGGTCAGGACAATCCATTGGAGAAGGAAATGGCAACCCACTCCAGTATTCTTGCCTGGGAAATCCTATGGACAGAGGAGTCTGGTGGGCTATAGTCTATGGGGGTTGCAAAAGAGTTGGACATGACTTAGCAATGAAACAACAACATAAAAACAAAAACCCAAGTCATTTTCAATTTTCAAAATTCAACTCAAGTATTATTTTTTCCGTGTAACCACTCTGGAACCACCTTCTTCTCTTCTGGCAGATGTAGGCTCTTTATCTCCCATGTTCTCATGTTTGGTCATGCCTATCAGTGTTATCCAGTGTGTGGCAATGTATATTATAATTAATTTGTATGTCAGCTTATCCCACTTGTCAAGTGAACTCCTTGAGAGATAAGACACATACTTTTCAGCTTTGCGTCCTGAATGTCTGTAATAGTAGATAAAGTTTGAATGAATGTATTACTTTACTTAGTGCTGTGATCCTAAAACACCCAAGGCCTGGCCTCCTTACCACTGTTCCCTTTTCCCCAGGCCCTTGCTCCTCCAAGGGTCATATATCTAGAGAGTTGTTGGGAAGAGAGTCTTTTTCTTACTCTTTCTTTTCTTTTCTTTAATCTCCCATCTTAATCTCTGTCCTAGGATTCCTCTGTGGGGTGGAGTTCTCATCACCATTGCAGATACCCTTTTATTTCTCTTTTTGGACAAATATGGTAAGGACAGTGGGAACAGAGGGGGTCACTGAAATTTCCTTCATGTGGCTTACGGGGAAATCTGCCTTCTGTGAACTCACTGCTACATTTTCCTCTTCAGGTTTGCGGAAGCTAGAAGCGTTTTTTGGTTTTCTCATCACTATTATGGCCCTCACATTTGGTTATGAGGCAAGTATTACAGGCTGATCACTAGCTGTTTTGTCTTTTTTTCATTAGCTTTTTAAACAAAATTTTTGTCCTTTTATTATAAAACACAGTGTGTGTTAACAAAATCCAAATTCAGCACTAGGCCAACTTTAAAGGAATAAGGATGTAGGAAAGACTAGTGTCCAGGAAGTTCTGCAGGGACTCCTAGGTAAAAAATGACTGGAATATCTAGGACTTTCCAGACTAGACTCCCTGGTCCCAAATTGGCCATCTCAACAACAGAACAGCCTTGGCAAGGATTAGGAGAGGAGTTGCAGGGTTATTCTTGGTTGTTACCTTGATGGGTTCTGTTTTTGCTCATCCTGGTTGACAGTAATTCCAGCTTGGACTTTCTCTGTATTGTAACAGTTAATGAACTATAGGGGATACAGTGCATGTTTCCTGTTTTGTGCCCCAGCCCCAACACTGCGTTGGGTTATCCCTAACCTAATCATTATATGCAGTGAAGTGAAACCTAGCACCTTTCTATGTCCAATTATTATAAACTGATTTCTGTTTATTGGACTAGCTAATCTTTTAAAAATATGTCTACTCTATGAGTAGATGATACAGCTTGGTCTAAGGCTTCCAAGAGAAATGCTGAACCAGGAAAAACAGTGTATGAGAAGTGTTTTTGAGTGAGTCTCAGCAGTTGCTAGTGGCAAGCGTAAGTAATTTTTATATACATATGTGAGCACAGATGTTGGATCATTGAAAAAACAAGAGAGTTCCAGAGAAACACCTACTTCTGCTTTATTGATTACGCTAAAGCTTTTGATTTTGGATCACAACAAACTGTGGAAAATTCTTAAAGAAATGGGCATACCAGACCACCTTACCTGCCTCCGGAGAAATCTGTATGCAGGTCAAGAAGCAACAGTTAGAACTGGACATGGAACAACAGACTGGTTCCAAATTGGGAAAGGAATATGTCAGAGCTATATATTGTCACCCTACTTATTTAACTTACATGCAGAGTACATCATGCGAAATGCCAGGCTGGATGAGGCTCAAGCTGGAATCAAGATTGCTGAGAGAAATTTCAATAACCTCAGATACGCCAAAGACACCACCCTTATGACAGAAGGTGAAGAGGAATTAAAGAGCTTCTTGATGAAAGTGAAAGAGGAGAGCGAAAAAGTAGGCTTAAAACTCAACATTCAGAAAACAAAGATCATGGCATCTGGTCCCATCACTTCATGGCAAATAGATGGGGAAACAGTGGAAACAGTGAGAGACTTTATTTTTAGGGGCTCCAAAATCACTGCAGATGGTGACTGCAGCCATGAAATTAAAAGACACTTGCTCCTTGGAAGAAAAGCTATGACCAACCTAGACAGCATATTAAAAAGCAGAGACCTTACTTTGTCAACAAAGATCCATCTAGTCAAATCTATGGTTTTTCTAATAGTCATGTACTGTAGTGAGAGTTGGACTATAAAGAAAGCTGACCGCCGAAGAATTGATGCTTTTGAACTGTGGTGTTGGAAAGACTCTTGAGAGTCCCTTGGACTGCAAGGAGATCCAACCAGTCCATCCTAAAGGAAATCAGTCCTGATACTCATTGGAAGGACTGATGCTGAAGCTGAATCTCCAATACTTTGGCTACCTGGTGCGAAGAACTGACTCATTGGAAAAGACCCTGATGCTGGGAAAGATTGAAAGCAGGAAGAGAAGGGGACAACAGAGGATGAGATGGTTGGATGGCATCATCAACTGAATGGACATGAGTTTGAGCAAGCTCCCGGAGTTGGTGATGGACAGGGAAGACTGGTGTGCTGCAGTCCATGGGTTCACAAAGAGTCAGACATGACTGAGCCACTGAACTGAACTAAGCACAGAAGCATGATTTGTGTGGGTAATCAAGAATTGACTGTATTCTAAGGTGTGTCTCACAGGAGTTATTGTGACACTAATATCAATAAGGCTCTTAGCAACCATGTTATTTCTTTAGAATATTAATTATATTCTTTACACATCTATTTAGTGTATGTAAAATACAATGTGAAATGTCTGGATACCCCAGTCATAAATTCTCTAACCTTGTGGTGCTTGGTTTCTTTTGGGTGGTTCTATGTTCCTCATTTCCTAAATAGTGTTGACGAAGGGGTTTAAGAAGTAAAGGATGCAATGTTATCTAGTACCATATTATTCTGCTAGTGTCAAGTTCCAGAAAAGGCTAATAGCTGTTCTGTTTGTGTATAGTATGTTACAGTGAAACCTAGCCAGACCCAGGTCCTCCAAGGCATGTTCCTACCATCCTGTTCAGGCTGTCGTACCCCACAGATCATTCAGGCTGTGGCCATCATGGGTGCTGTTATCACACCACACAACATATACCTGCATTCTGCCTTAGTCAAGGTAAGCAAGACCTATCTTATCTCAGTGACTTATGTAGTTGATGGCATCTTTTCCTTTTGTTGCAAGGGATACATACTTAGTTTACAATTGTTGGAGCCTTGAAGGAGTGCAGTGTTTTTCCACAGTTGGACACCACACTCTTGTATCACCAAGGTGACCAGAGATGACTGACCCCATAGAGAAGGGACTAAAGTCCTTAAAAGATCTGAAGGGGCACCGTGTCTCTTGTCTTTAAATCTCAGAAACCTCAGTGGCCTCATGGAGGTCAGGAGGAAGGAGCCCAACCTCGCTTTTACCAGTCAGTCCAACACAATTGTTTGCTGGAAGATTTCAGAGACCTTTGTAATTAAGGGTAACTCCCCCTTAGGTCTAAAATCAAGTTGTTTTTGTAGGTCAGCGGTTCTTCAAGCCACAGTAACTGAGGGCTCATCACTCACTCAGTCACTTTTCCCCGTTTGGTTATGTGTGATGTCGTCAAAGGGTCGTGATTAAACTCAGTGAACCAGGATGTATGTGGGGTCTCTCACACTTCATGTGGTCAGTTGTTTGACCTCTAGGACTTTCAGCTGACTCCAACTCATGAAATATCACAAGGAAACTTGTTCCAACTAGTCAAAAAGTGACTGTTGCTATTACCTCTCTAGTCCAGACAGGTAGACAGAGCCGATAAGCAGAAAGTTCAAGAAGCGAATAAGTACTTCTTCATTGATTCCTGCATCGCGCTCTTTGTTTCCCTTATCATCAACATCTTTGTCATCTCCGTGTTTGCCGAAGCCTTTTTTGAGAAAACCAACCAGCAGGTGGTAAGTAAGCCGGGGACCTGGGTAGCAGTGACTGTGAGGGTAAAGAGGAGGCTGACTGGGGCCGAAGGCACGACAGTGACTCAGAGCTCAGGAGAAATAGATCTCAGTGCTGGCCTAAGTCCCCACGCTAGTCGGGTTTGTAGTCTAGGGCTGTGGCCAAGTCCAGACCCATCATTCTCAGCTTTGGACTGGGAAGGGAGCAGTCCTCAGATAAAGGCTGCCTCATGCCGTGGTTAGTGGCTTCACATCTATTTGCTCTTTCTCATCCCCTTTTGCTTCCAACTACTGACTGCTTTCCAGTCCTGCCATTTGGTGATGACAGGTTGGGAGGAGTCAGCACACAGAAAATAGAATCTGTGGCTAGACAGACTGTTTTATCACACTGAGTTCTCTGTCCTCTTGACTCCTGATTGCCGGTCTAGTTTTGATCATGCCTTTGTTTCCTCTCACTCTCATAGGACCTCTGATTCCTGGCTCTGCTTTGACTAAGGACTCTCTATTCTGGGTGTCCTTTCATATTTAAAGCCTTCTAAGGGCCCTCACTTCATGTCACCATTTAAATTGACCTAACATTCATGTATTACCATGCATACCGTAACTCAGGAAAAGTTTTTGATGACCTGAGAGTGTAGAAAAATTATCAAGTCTCCGCTGTCATCAATCCACGTCCAGTGTCTCGCCTTCAGCATCCATCTCTTAGATGACCTGTGTGTGATCTATAGGAGAGGTCTTCTTATCTGAGTCCTGGACTCAAAATTAAAAATTGTTCCTAAACTGCTTTGGTTCCAGGTTGCAGTCTGTAAAAACAGCAGCAGTGCCCATACTCACCTTTTCCCAGAGGATAACTCAACACTGACTGTGGACATCTACAAAGGGGTAAACCTGTCCAGGTTTCTGATCTTTGCTCCTGAATCAATATTCTCAGCATATTATCTGGTCTTTTCCATGGGTTCACTTCAGAGCTCAGCATATCTTCTCTGAAGTGTTGTTTTTTTTTTCCAGAGGTCCAGATACCAGATAAGACTTTTGGATTATGTAGAAGGGAATAAAGATCTGCTGAAAAGATGAATTAATTGAATCAGCAATTCCCAAACTTGTGCTGCTATAGGCATTAATTGGTGTTACTAGAGAAAGTGTTCTTAGTAAAGTGATTTATTTTTTATACTTGTTCCCCACCTAGCCCCAGTGACTGGACACTTTATTTATGTAGGCTGTCCTGTGTGGTATGTGGGACCTAGTTTCTGACCAGCATTTGAACCCATACCCCCTACATTGGGAGTTACAGGGTCTTAAACCAATGGCACACCAGGGAAGTCCCTGTAAAGTCATCTTTATTGGGGCCTCTCTGTCCCTTCTGCTAGTTACATTATGAACTTCCAAGAGTAGAATATGTAGCATCTCCAAAATTCATCTGTGCTTTCTCTTCGTTCCTGTTACCATCTTCCAGAATACTGTGTTAAAGAATATAATTTGGGAAATGTGTTATAGACTTATTTTTAATAGTTAACGTATAAGTTGAGGATAAAAGCTTTAGGAACCTAGAGAAGAGAAGGGACTAGGCTGAGGAGAAATGGGGACCCATCCAGCAGAATTTAGGTTGAAAGCCTCTGAATGAGGTCAGGACCCAAGTCTAGCTTCTGGGACAGTGCTCAGCACATTGCTTGGTAGAGGTGGGTGTGTGGCCAGGAAGACAGAGAGGTGACACAGAGGAGTACTTTGGAGTGTTGTCTCAGGTTATCTTTCTCCCTTGCCTCTCCAGGGTGTTGTGCTGGGGTGTTACTTTGGGCCTGCCGCTCTCTACATCTGGGCGGTGGGGATCCTGGCTGCGGGGCAGAGCTCCACCATGACAGGAACCTATTCTGGCCAATTTGTCATGGAGGTATGTGCTGCTGTGACTGGGATGACTAGGGGAAGAGGACATTGCCCTTTTGTTCTTTCTTAATCCCATGCCTCTATTGTCTTCCCAAACCACCCAGCCCTTTTTCTATTTCCTTCCAGACATTCATCCTGTTTCTGTGTTTTCTTCCAGGGATTCCTGAACCTAAAATGGTCACGCTTTGCCCGAGTGAGTCTGACCCGCTCTATTGCCATCATCCCTGCTCTGCTTATTGCCGTCTTCCAAGACGTGGAGCATCTAACAGGGATGAATGACTTCCTGAATGTTCTTCAGAGTTTACAAGTGAGGAGAGAGCTGGGGAAATTCACATCCCACTAAGTCAGGAGGGATTCTGTACCTATATTCTGTATTGCCTTTAGATAACAAGCCTAGTGTGGTTGTGGGGAAAATTCAGAGGAAGAAAGAGGCACAGTCTTGGTCTACGGTGAACGCATATGAAATCTCTGGCATCTAAAAGACTTTTAGAAATGGCTTTATTTTTAAGACTGATTTGAATGGGAATTATAAGCTGTGATTACACATAGAATACAATTATTGTTTGTTAATCCAAACAAGCATTAAATAATGTATAGGACACTGTTGGGCTTTATGGAGATTAAGAAGACAAGGCAGATACAAATATTGTAAAGACACTGTGATCATAATTGATTCTGGGTTCATGCTACAGATTTCCACATAACCCTCCAGCATGTTGTGATGACAGGAATAATTTCTCACAGAATAGATGAGGCAGGGTCTGTGGTTCCCTTTTGCTAACAGTGCTGCTCTCTGGGGTGTTACAAGGACCCCCTGTAGCCCCGTCTGATCTAATTTTTTTCTTTTGCAGCTTCCCTTTGCTCTCATACCCATCCTCACGTTTACAAGTTTGCGGCCTGTGATGAGCGAATTTGCCAATGGATTGTGAGTGTACTTCTTTTTGTTCCCCAAGATGTTGGGGGACGGATATCTTCATCAAACAGGCCAGTTAGGAAATAAGTCATAGGGTACTATGTGCTTTAAGAGGTGGCTGCTAGAGCTGCCCCCTCAATCTCTAACTTAAAAAGGAGAGACTACTGGGGACTTCCCTGATAGTCCAGTGGTTGAGACTCTGCCTTCCTATGCAGGGCGTGAGGGTTTGATCCCAGGTCAAGGAACTAAGGTCCTAAATGCCACAGGGTGTGGCCAAAAATTAAAAATAAATGAACACAACATTGTAAATCAACTGTACTTCAATTTTAAAAAATTAAAGAAAATAGAGATGGTAAATGTAACAAAGGAGGGCAAGCACATTTTTTATTTCTGGGGGAAGTTTTTCAGCTTTTAGTGCTTTAACTCTTCAACTTCAGCCACTGAAGGTTAAAGCATCTTAAATCCATGTTAAATGATCTTGCTGAGAGAGGCATAAGCTAATACCTTTTATATACATGTCTAAAGGACATGGAGTATTTGAAATGACTTGTGGTATCTCTAGGGACTCATGACCTTTTCAGTTGTAGGGCTTGTTGCATTTTTTTTGGGACTTATATGATACGGATTATTTGATAGTGTTTTTTTTTTCTCTTTCTCCCTATCGTTGTGTAATTTTTGCTTGTTTAATCTAACCTGGGACAAAAGAAGCCCTTTCCAGTTTATTTTGAAATGCCACTTACTCCTGTCTTGTGACCTCAAAAGACACAGTGTCCTTTTCTGTTTGTGAATAGGTTGAACTATTCCACCAATAATTGTGCTGATTCTTTTGACAGAGGCTGGAGGATCATAGGCGGTATTGTGGTCCTTGTCGTCTGTTCCATCAACATGTACTTTGTCGTGGTTTATGTCCAGGGTCTAGAGCATGTGGCGTTGTACGTGGTGGCTGCAGTGGTCAGCGTGGTTTATCTGAGCTTTGTGTTTTACTTGGTAAGTCCATTTGGGAGGAGGCAGGGGTGGTTGAGGTGGAGCTAACACTCAGAAGAAAAAGGATCCCAAAGAACACTTACCAATCGATCTTCAGGTTATTGACACAATTTACATGAAATTGTTAAATCAGCTGTGACTAAAGAATATTTTTAGCCATAAATTTTTCCTGGTTCCTAAGAGCTGTCATTTTTCTATTTCTGTCACTCTGATTTCCATTCTAATAATTCCTAACCAGAGAGTGTAGTATGTTTGAAGAACTCAAAGAAGATCAGCCATGTAAAAGTAGAGAGTGCTTCAAGATGGGGTTGGAGAAGGGAGCTGTGTTGTGTGATTTCAAATCTTTGGAGGGCAGCACATGTGGGTTCACAGCCCTGCCCAACTCTACTACTTAATAGCTGTCCAATGATGACACAAGTAAATAGTGATAATCTCTCACTGAATTATTAAAAATGGTGGTTGTAAAACATAGTGCTCCATAGAAAAAGAATGGAGAATTATGTATCCCTAAATAATAAAAAAATTATCAAAAGTCTAGAGTAAATTATATAAAAATAGTAATAGTAGTTGCCTTCAATGGTGGGATTATGAAAATACCCTTTTCTCTATTTTCCAATTCTTCTGTAATATTATTTATATCAATGAAAAATAGCTATAGCAACACATCCACCTCCCTATTCTACACAGGTTTCTCTAAAAAAACACAAGGTTGAGGATTAGGGACTACTACAAAGAATGGCAAGGCAGTAGGGTGGAAATGCTCTGATCATCTTTATAACACTTACCTAGTCCCCATGTCATTGTCTGCCACAGACAATGTCTTGATTGGGAAAATGTTTTAGTGAATATTGAGAAATTGTGTCTTGGATAGACATATCTCTTTTTTTTGCCCGGTAAACCACGGGTACACTTAGATTAAGCTGACCCTATAAAATAGGGACAGTTGTTATTGTTCGGTTGCTAAGTTGTGTCCTACTCTTTGGAACCCAGTGGACTGCAGCATGCCAGGCTTCCCTGTCCTTTGCTGTCTCCTGCAGTTTGCTCAAACTCATGTCCATTGAGTTGATGATACCATCCAATCATCTCATCCTCCGTCACCCCCTTCTCCTCCTGCCCTTAATCTTTGAAACCCAAATAACTGAGTATGGCCTTGACATAAATTGTTTTAACAATTTGCTGTAGGACATCTCCTGGTGGTTTAGTGGTTAGGATTTCGGACTTTTGCTTCAAAGTCCTAGGTTCAGTCCCTAGTCAGGGAACTGAGATCCTATCCTACAAGCTAGGCAGCATGGCCAGAAAGAAGTTTCTGTAGAAGTTAAGGGGATCCTTCTTGTATGCAAACTGGTTATGAAGGTGCTCAGTTCTTCTCAGTCAGCCTGAGGCTATAGAAATTGTTGAAGACCAGTTTTAAGGCTGAGGACTGATTCTAGAATGAATTGCTATACTACTCTTTTGTTCAGAAGACTATCACAGTTCAGTCATTACCCATATTGTGAGGAATGGTGTAGGACTGAAAAAAAAAGTAGTCTTCAGGGACCTCTCCCAGTCAGATAAAAGAAACAAACGCAAAGCAGTAGGAACAGAAGGAGCTGAGTATTGAAATTAGTACTACAAAGAGTTTTGCATCTGAGCAGTGCATTGTGGGCGGTGAGGGGGCTAAGAGGGCTCTCCAGAGGGGTCAGTGAATGATGACCAACTGTATTTTCTCTTCCAGGGTTGGCAATGTTTCATTGCACTGGGCATGTCCTTCCTGGACTGCGGGCACACGGTAAGCGTCTCTAAAGCCCTGCTGACCAAAGAAACCCCCAGTGGCTGTGCTGAGTAAATGCTGCTCACGGGTAGCCATCAGGGCCAGTGTTTCTGTGGTTTACTGTGTGAACACGGCCAAAGGTACGTGCTGGTGCACAGACTGCACTAGGACTCAGCTGTTCCTTGGGAAAGACTGTTTTGTATGTCTTTTGAAAGATACAATTATTTTTCTTCCTAAGCTTCTAACATGGGAATTGGATTAGGTAGTATCTCTGACAACTTGACATCTGCTGCTCTCAAACAATGCTGAACACTTTCACTGTCCCAGGATCAACCTGTTTTATCTTTAGTAGAGATAATCCTCACGCCTGATTCTTAACAAGACTGACTACATGTTATAAAAACGTATTTGGAAAATACATTTTTCATAATACAATTTACAAAATAGGTATGCAAGTTTTGTTTATCTAAAGATAATGGATTTAAAAGGCTGAGAAGCCATTAAAAAGAATGAAATAATGCCATCTGCAGCAACATGGAGCAACCTGGAGAGTGTCGTACTGAGTGAAGTAAGTCAGACAGAGAAGGAGAAATATTGTATGACATCCCTTATATGTGGAATCTAAAAATAAATAATACAAATGAATTGCTTACAAAACAGAAAGAGACCCATAGGTTTAGAAACCGAATTTGTGGTTGCTGGGGGGAAGGGATAATGAGGGAGTTTAGGACGGTCCCTGCTTAGGACACACTGCTATATTAAAAATGGATACCCAACAAGGATCTATTGTACAGCACATGGAATTCTACTCAATGTTATGTGCCAGCCTGGAGGAGAGGGGGGTTTGGGGGAGAATGGACACGTGTATATGTATGGCTGAGTCCCTTCACTGTTCACCTGAAACACCACAGCATTGTTAATCAGCTATATCCCAATACAAAACAAAAGTTTAAAGTTTGAAAAAAATAAAAAGCATACAGCAAAAAAATAAAAGACTGAGAAATACTTTCCTTATACATATCCTTTGAATTATTTTTATTATAAAAAATAAAATCTCAACTAGAGTAGTTTGATTCATATTATATTTAATTATGAGATAATCTTCATCTATCAGGTTCAAGATTTTTTTAAACTTATTTTCACTTTAAATTTCTAAGTGGAAGTTAAGAGGGGTGAGAAAGCATTAATATGATAAATGGACAGATGGTAAAACTCACTTGTGGTCATGGTGACTAATACTATTCTCTTCTGAAAATCACTCTGATGATTTCCCTCAGAGATTGAGAGCTTACTGAAATGTTCTTGGGAGTCCCAATTTTAATAACTCTCATGTTAGTACAGAGTTCTCATATGGTGTTTCTTCTTGAGCCCTTAGAGTTTGGAAACCTTCCCCTTCCTTCTCCAGGAGGGTAGTGATAGAAAAAGATGGTAGCATTTATGAATTGATGTTCTCAAGAGATTTTGGGGTGAGGTGAAAAAACTTGAAAGAAGAGGAGCCATCTGTTTAATTCCTATAAAACAACGTCTTCCAGAATCGTCATGTTTTTCTAAAGCATGCCCAAGACAACTTGCCAGGCAATCTCAGGAGCTCTGGATGTAAGCGTTGCAAAGCTCGCTCCCTCTGAGCGAGTCCTTCGGTGTCACTATGGTTGCCAAGTCCTCTCTGCAGGGTTTCACTGAGCTACCTCTCTTCAGCCATTCCCTCAGAGGGAAAAACTTTGAGACCAGATGGTGGAGCTCTGGAGTCAGAGGAAATGTGTCTTCTTCAGCATGGAGCTGCTGCTCTTCAGCCACTTCTGACATTTTTACATGTGGAGCCTGACACCATGTGATTATCTCAAACCAAGTCACATTGTCCAGTGGAGATAAATATTCGGGTCTTTTATAGCCACTGACTTGGAGAGAACAGTAATGGGAATGTGATCGAAGGACTTTGCATTTCTGGTGTCTTCCTTCTGGAGTGCCTGTTGACTGATGTTCTCTGTTCACCTGAGCCCCTAAAGGCATTGTTTCCAAATCTTTGTACACAGGCAAAAGCGCAGACTGAATGGACTGTCTTTTACATGGCTTTAAGGGTAAACTTCTGTGTTCTACTGACCATACCTTTACCTCAGCCCCTCCAGTGACATAGCATAGAATCATGAGAGACAAATTCCCCAACCATTCCTCCTCACATCCCTCCCTCTCCCCTACCATCGTTCCCTAGACTGGTCACAAGGGCACTCTGGAGATATCGGGGACTGACCTCTTAAGCTCTCGTCTGGCCTCAGTAGGTTGAGGGCCAAGTTGACAAAATTCTTTGTAAAGGCGGTACATTAACATTTACCTTTGCTGGGAGTTTGAGTGGGTCCAGTCAGTCTCAGGTTCACAAATATTTAGAAGCCCAGGTAAAAGCTGCTAGTTTTCTTTTAGAAGTTATATATGTGACTTGCGATGATGAAAATTTCTTCCCAGTTATATGGCAGTTTATACCACTATGTGTGTAGTAGTTTACAGCGTTAACAACACTCCCATGCTATAGTCCATCAGATGCTCTCACATGGAAAGTGTTCTTTCTATTCAGCCACTACTTTGGGTATAGTAAACAATGTTTAGAACTGACATCTTCCATGCCAGCATGTACACTCTGTTTGTGTGAAATGTTTAAGAATATACAATTGTCCTTTACGTAAGTTTGTCCTTGTTCTCCATAAATATGTCATGAAATAACTGTGCTGCTACAGTGTACTGGGAATTAACAGGAATGGGGAAGAGCTGTATTTTGGTTCCTGTGAGGTCCTGCTAGTGGTTTTAGGAGTCGTTACAACAAACTTTTAGCGACATTTAACAATATGTAAACTCAGTTTGTGGGGATTCCCTTGTGGCTCAGGTGGTAAAGAATCTGCCTGCAATGAGGGAGACCCAGGTTCAATCTCTGGGTCAGGAAGATCCCCTGGAGAAGGAAATGGCAACCCACTCCAGTATTCTTGCCTGGAGAATTCCATGAACAGAGGAGCCTGGCGGGCTACAGTCCATGATGTCACAAAGAATCAGACACAACTGAGCTACTTTCACCTGGTGGCCCAGCGGTAAAGAATCCTCCTGCAACACAGGAGACGCAGAAGACTCAGGTTTAATCCCTGGTCGAGAAGATCTCCTGGAGGAGGGCAAGGCAACCTACTTCAGTATTCTTGCTTGGAAAATCCCATGGACAGAGGAGCCTGCTGGGCTACAGTCCAAAGGGTCACGAAGAGTTAGACACGACTGAATGAGCACACACACACCAGCTTTGAAATACTGAAACATCAATTACCACCTGGGTTGATATATTAGACTCATACTGTTAGTGGTTTTCTCTTTAGAAGGTATAGAGGAATACAGTTGATCTCTGTATTCCTCCTGTATGCAGGGGTTAGGGTTGCCAACCTTCCATGGAATAAAAAATCTGCATGTAGTTTATAGTCAGCTCTTCATGTTTATACTTGGCCTTCCATGTCCAGTGTTCATCCAAATCTGTGGTTCCGCATTCTCAGATTCACCCTGTCTGGGATCATGTATTTCTGTCATATTTACCATTGAAAAAAATCCCTATATGAGGAGACTCGAGGGGTTCGAATTCATGTTGTTCAAGGCTCAACATAGGTTTAGTTCCCAGAAGACTTGATGAATTGTTGACACCAAGCACTAATCTCTATCACCAATTTAGTTAGTTTTGCTATTGCTAAAGATTACATCATTACCATATGTAAAGTTGAAAGATAATTGTCATTCTGCCCTTTTCCACTCTAAGCTGAACATTTTTCTGTCTATAGTCTTACTTCACCATTGATGTAGGCTTTTACATTCTGTACATGCTGCCAATAAAAAGTATGTGTATTTGAAAAGAGAAACCAAAATTGTGTAGCTTAGAAATGAAAGCATTTTTGGACACCAGATATACATACAAGGACAAAGCTCAGAAACAGTAAACTACTAGGATTGTCACCAAACACGGGGCAAGAAAAGTTAAGTCAGCACTTAATTTGTTCCAGAGGTGTCACTAGAACTTCCTTTTCCCTTTCTGTGTTGCAAGCTCCCCCTGTCTTAACAGGAACTGAATACTGTAAGTAACACCATAGAAGTTATGAGAATTTTGTTCTCCACGTTGTCCTTTCTCAGTTAGCTCTTTTTTTCTTTTAATCTTTTTTTTTGGCTGTGCCATGGGGTTTATGTGATCTTAGCTCTCTGCCCAGGGATTGAACCCAGACTAATGGCAGTGACAGTCTGGAATCGTAACTATTAAGCCATGGGGAACTCCTTATTTGGGTTTAATTTCAGAACTAAAATAGGATACATAACCGTTTGAAGATCCTGATTTGGCTTTAGCTCTGCCCTCTGCAAGGTCTTCTGCTCTTTCCTTGGACAGGACCAGTGAGTCCAGATGTGTCGCCTTCTTTTGACATCTTAGCTTTGGAACGTTAAAAATGACCAACACATTACTATGCTCGTTGGGGTCTAAGCACTCGTGTGTGTGTATGTATGCTCAGTCACTCAGTCATGTCTGACTCCTTGTGACTCCATGCACTCTAGCCCACCAGGCTCCTCTGTCCATGCAGTTTTCCAGGCAAGAATACTGGAGTGTGTTGTCATTTCCTACTCCAGGGTATCTTCCTGACCCAGAGCTCAAACCCTTGTCCTTGGACCTCCTGCATTGGCAGGAGGATTCTTTACCACTGCACCACTGGGGAAGCCCTTAACACTCGTAAGATCTCTTGTAGTTCTTACAACAAAAGGGCAAAAATAAGGCAACTGAAGGGCCAAAAGTAGAATCACACATTGCTAATAACTGTGTAGTTGGCATTTGTATCTGACTAGCTAAATTCCAGAGCCCACGTGACCATTACCAATCATTCTATACAACATATCGTATATACTTCGTAGTATGTACTTTAAGACACCAAACTTTGGTGTTTAGCAGCACCAAGAACAGCACCATATCAAAGATACTTTGCTTAATACTCTGATAGGGTTAGAATATGTTTTAGGTCAAAAGCTGCCAATTGATAGGCTAATTTTGTTTGGCCTGTCCTACATTTTCCGAAGTACCTGGATGCTTTTTTCAGGTAGATGTGGAAAATGGCAGGGTCCTGTATGATCCTATCCTAGCAATAAGTAAGAACTGATAGCTTATTCATTTTCTGGTGGCTCAGACAGTAAAGAATCCTCCTGCAATGCAGGAGACCTGGGTTCGATCCCCAGGTTGGGAAGATCCTCTGTGGAGGTCATGGTCACTGCAGTACTCTTGCCTGGAGAATCCCCATGGACAGAGGAGCCTCATAGGCTCCAGTCCATGGGGTTGCAAAGAGTCAGACATGACTGAGCGACTAAGCAGAACACAGCACTGCCCTTGAAAGTTTTAGCCAATTCCTCTACCATTTAGCCCCATTTCTCACTGAGAAATGCAGCAAACTTCTCCAGTGAAGGAGTTCTGTCTACTAAGTCATCAAATGATACAACTTGGAGCTCATGGGACTAAAAAAGCAGCCCCTGTTTACTACACGCCCATCCCACCACCTTAGCTCACTTGAGAAAAG